TTAAGATTGTATTAATGGTGTTTCTTAGGATCTCAGATTAAATAAACTTAAATTCTTTCTTTACAAATTAAAGAAAAATTCATATTTTTCCCTATAATTTCTCGTTTTATTTTCCTTTATAAAATTAATTGTAAAGAATCAAGGACAAATTAAGAAAAATATGTAAAGGCTTTCAAGTAATTTCTAAAATTTATAAAAGTAGAATTAAAGTCTAAGATTATATTTAATTTATATATTACTTAATTACTTAGAAGAACTAATTCTATATTTAAGTATTCAAATTGAGTAAACTTCCATACTTTTCTCTAGAATTTCTCATCTAATTTTCCTTTTAAAATTAATTAGTAAAGAGTAGAGGGAAAACTAAAAAAAAATATGTTAAGGCTTTATACTTACATATTTACAAGATTTATAAATATATAATCTGTCTAATATTATATGAAAAGTATATCTCACTTAATTTTAAGAAGAACTAACTTTATATTTGAGTATTCAAATTGAGGGAAATTCCATACTTTTCTCTAGAATTTCTTGTCTAATGTTCTTCTCTAATTGCCAGAATTTCCCATTTCCAGAATTTTTCGTCCAATTTTCCTCTTTAATTTTCCCATTTCCAGGCTTCTCTGTCCTCAGAGTTTAGCTTCTGCTTTAGCTGCTGCTTCTGTGACTACATTTTGCCATCATTTCATTTGCTCTTGTCTCTGTTCCAAGTCTCCTTCTATACTCCAAGCTCCTGGCTCCTGGCTCCTAGCTCCTTCCTCCTCCAACTCCTTGCTCCTTGTCCCCTGCTCCCTGCTCCTTCCTCCTCCAACCCATCTCAGGAGCTCCCTTCTGGCTTTTGATGTCCCATACACATGTGTATGTGTGTTTTGGGTTTCCCTGTGGCTTTTGTGTTCTCCAACTCAGTGCTCCTCCATTTACCAGTTTTTCGCACGTTTTGCTCTTCTGTTTATTTGGCAACCAAAGAGAGAGAGAGAGCAAGAGGAGCCCCGGCCTCTGAGCATCCAGAGAAACGAGGAGCCAGAGATGCCCAGAGAACCCCAGATTGAAAGCGAGAACCTCCAGAACCGAGAGAACCCGAGAGCTGCGTTTTATATAGATTGTTGTAGTAGTATGTAGTACGTATTATGTAGTAGTAGTAGTAGTAGTAGTACCCACTGTGCCACCCCCCCTGGAAACCCTCTGGTCATTTGCACAACCCTGCCCCGATTTTGGTGAGTGGAGTGAGCTGCTGGATGTTGCTGAACGCCTGTTCTCAAACGACTCAAACTGAGAGAGAGATAAAAGCATGGCTGTGGCAAGATGATGCTTCTGTGTTGATAAGGCACCAAGAGTGTCACGGTGTATGTGTGTGTGTGTGTGTGTGTGTGTGTATGTGTTTTTGTGAAAATTGAGCACAATTCCTATACGCAATGCACGCACACAGAGCGGTGGCAGAAAGTATCTCATGGATAGCCACCTACTTATATATACTTTTGCGATTCATCCGTAGGCTGAGATTTCCGAGGATTGAGACGACACACACACCGTTCTGTCGCTGCCTTCTTCTCTGAGTGAATTATGAAGTTGTCTTCGGTTGTTACGTGGGTGGTTATTCCAACCCAGTGCCTCCCCCCCCCCTCTAAAGAAACCCCTTTTACCATGAGAGTTAGAGCCAGCTCCTTAAGCCTCTCGATTTATAGTTGTACTTAAAATAGAGTCACTTCTCTATGATACAGAGGGGGAAAAAAGAGGGAGCTTTGGGGACAATTTTTAAAGAAAAAATTAAACTACTTTAGGAAAATATATATAAAAATGAAAGAAAAAATTATAACAAGAAAAATTTAAAAGCATTAGGAACAATTTTGTAAGAAAAAATATAATAAATATTTATAAGCTCTTTTCAGAACCTATTTTTCATAAGAAAGAAAAATAGGAAGCTTAAGAGACAATTTTTAATAAATAATTAAGATACTTTAAGAGGATTATTTATGAAAAATAAACTAAATATATTTAGAGAACTTTGAGAATCTAATTTTCTTAAGAAAGAAAAATTAGGAAGCTTTGGGTAAAATTTGTTTATATAATTTTAAGATACTAAAGAACATAAATTCATAAAATATACATATATGTTATATAAAGATATTATTTATATACAAAACATATATTTCTCTCTCTGTAAACCTTTACCCAAAACAAAAGACAAAAAACATCAACAACCGACAACATTGTAAGACCAAGAAAGAGTTTTCATCATCGGAAAATGCCCCAAAACCGTTAGCTGGATCATAAAATAAAAGTCGAGGCTAGAAAAAAAAACACCATAACAACTTTGAAATGCATCTTATTCTCTGTTATTTTTTTTTTTGTATTTTTTTGTCGTAGCTGTAAAATGCAACTGACACACAAAAGCAACAGACGCACCGCGATCACGAGCTGAAAATGGAAATGTGACTCGAACTTAGATTGTGAGGTTGGGGGAAATAGAAAATGGAAATGGAAATGGAAATGGAGCTGGTGATGCTGATGCTGGCCACAATGCAAATGCATTCTTTGGGCCAATCTAATGATCAACACGACAACACAATGATCGTGATGATGATGCCAATGACTTGCTCTCCACGGGTTTTTATACCAATAAAATCTAAAATTGACATCGTTTATCACTCACTTTGCCTGCTACGGGTCATAAAAAATCACAATTTTTATTGAACAAGATTTGAATATAAGGAAATGAAGAATTTGTTAAGGGTTTCGGGAAGTTTGGAGGATGTAAAAGTAGAGTTTTGAGGTTGAGTAATAGAGGAACTCTAAAAGAAGCTGAAATTCTATAAAAAAAAGTAGCCCTACTTTAGATCTAACTCTTCCATTTAATTGTTAAAATAATGTATAAACATTTGCTATTACCACATGCACTTTTTCTTAACTCATCTTTGCCCTAACAAAAATCAGGAAACATTTAAGCAAAAAATGCTTTTATGACCTCTTTTAAGCATTTCCCATCTGCATGTCAGACAATTTCGAGTTGCTCCTTTGACATCCAACCATGAGAGATGCAAAATTGAAGCTGGAATATAGCTTAGATGATCCCATCTTTGGGTTCAGCCTGGACTTTCACTTTGACTGCTCCATGCTCGATGGTGGAGTGGCCAACAAATTATAGCTAATTATGCAGCATCTTAGCCGAGATTGGGCAAAACTCTCCTGGCTGCAAAGTCTGCAATTTGGCCATGTTGCAGATCTGGGGCCGATCTGGTCATGTGGGTTTTCTTGCCATAAGCCAGAAAGGCAAACAAAAGCTTGAGCTCATAATAACTCCGTTTGAGCCAGCCTGCAGTTTTTGTTTTTTTGAGGCCATTATAACTAAAATTTTTGTTTGCAACAAAATATACCGACTTTCATTTTCAGTTCAGAGCTGCGTTGAAAGTTGATTCGCAGATACTGTGTGTATCTTTGGACTGATCGCATTTTGTGGCCGTTACTTGGCTCAAGGTCATGGAATTGTTGCCAAGTTAAAAGAATGCCTTGACAATATTTTTTTTTTAATTAAAAGGCAAACAGCAAAAACAATATACAAAGCACAAAAATTAAAAAAAAAAAGAAAAACCGAAACGAAACCAAACTGATAAAAATGGTTTTATCAGCCAGCCGAAGCGGTGACATTAACCACGATAATTATACAAAACATGTGAGCCGTTTTTTGTGGACCTGCAGAAAATTGGAAAACAATAACAAATGTCGACCTCAAAAGGCACTGAAAAAAAGTATTTTAAATAGTATTAAACCTAGGAAAAATACAGAATTTATTTAGGATATATTCCTTATAGAATATTGCTTCAAAGATTAATAAATTTTGACTTATTTCTCCAGGGATATCTTTATCTTTAGATATTTTAAAGGCCATTAAAGTATTTCCTAAATTGCACTTGACTATATATAAATTTAATCAACATAATTAGCATATTAAATATCATTCCTAATTTAAATTTAAATAATTAATTATATAAAATTAAAATCATTATTTTTCTTATCCAAAATTGTATCTAACAGTGTCTCATGATAAGCGCCTGGAACACGTGTGGAATGTAGAGCAAAGACTATCTACAGATAGATATGTATCTTTTCAGCGGCAGTTCAAGGAAATGTTCAACCCTCAGATAAAGTAAAGTATCTACCAATTTGCAAATACAGAAAAACTTTATCTCAGCTTTTGGAACAGCTATAAAAGAAAAAATCCAATTTTGATAAGCTTTTAAATTGTGTATAAAAACGAAACGATCCGATCCCAAAAAGGGTTTATCTTGCGGTTATAGCGCTTATCAACTCGCTTTTATCTCAGTCATTTCGCCACACAAAATATAAATAAATTCCTTGGAAATAATATGCCATATGACTTTTCGAAATATTTATTTGCATTATATTGCAGTAAAAAAGAATTCAGATTAGAAGATCGAAGCAGTAAATACCCTGAGGGTTAAGTTAATAAATTGAAAATATATATTACTTCTGAATAATATATCAAATATTTGAACTATATAATGTATTAATTACTTCTATACCAATCGGATATACCTATCATTACTTCAGTATCCTCTTAATAAATCCTCTCTTTGCAAAAGGGAATAAAAACTGCTTAGTTTGGGGCAAGGGTTTCCGTCCTTTGGTCTCAACCCCAACAGGTTTCCATTGCTCTACCCATTCCTCTTCTGATATAAAAATACATATATATCTCCATATAGCCTGATGCCTGAGATGATTCTGCTCCCGTTGCCGCTTCTGTCACCAGACGGTGGTTCCAATGCATTTCACTTCCCCCTCACCAATTCCTTTCTGTGGCAAAGAGCGGTCATCATCGTCATCATCGGCTCTAACCCATCGATGTGTGTGGCCCTGTGGACATGGCCTGAAATCTGGGATGGAGATGGTATGAGATGGAGTTGGAGGCTGGAGACTGGAGGCTGGAGTTGGGGACTCGAAAACAGGGGACTCTTCTCTGAGTTGTCGGCGCCGATGGAATGTTGTTAGTTATAAAATGGCCACAAAATCATAACGCGGGCGTGGGCAGCCACTGCCCTCAGTCTCACTTTGCTTTATTTTAGGCACTGAGAGAAATAAGTAACTTAATATACATTTATATAAAAAAAACAAATAATTATTACTCAGTCAGAGGGGATTAAAAAATATTTCCCATTAAATTATAGCTTAGTTAAATAAATTTTGAATATATTACTTAAAAGAAATTTTAAATAATGTTTTAACCAGAGTTTAGGAAATAATGTAAAAGTCTTTATAATTAAAAAAAATAATAATAATTGTCCTAATTATAGAACATTTATATTTAAGATACTTTCTATTCCAAACATAAAAAACTTTTTGTAAAATATGTATCTTACAACATTCCAGTATGACCTTTCAATTTTCAATATTTATGACACTTTCGATTCTTAAAATTAAAATAACTTTGTATGTCTATTTAAATAGTATTTTTATAAAATATTTAATATATTTTTGTTGTAATATGTTTTATATACATGAAAAAGGACTTCTGTAAAAGGTATATCTTACAACATTCTAGTGTGACCTTGAAATTTTAGGTATTTACAAGATTTTGGATTAAAAAACATATTATTATTATTTAAAAAAATTAATGTATAAAATATTTAAAGTATTATTATTTCTCTCCGTGCCTTGGAACCCAAGACCCCGAACCTGATATTAACGATGACGAGTTGTTGCCTCCGTCGAGGTCTCCATCCAGAATTCTCTCCCACAGCATCCACGCATATTTTGGATGGGTCCATGGTCAGATGGTCCGTCTGGGGGCTGCTTTTTTTTAATGGAACCAGGTCCGTTGGGTGAGTGTGAATTGAAATGTATTTTTACATACTCGTTGTACATGTGTTCTATGCCAGTCGATTGGATCTCGAAAATCAAATCAAAACTCGTCGTCGTTTTATGGCTTTTAGAAACTCTTGGAACTTGTTTTTTTTTTTTGTGTTGTTCGGTTCTGTTTTGTTTCCCTTTAGTCTCTGTTTGTTGTTCTCGTTATTATTATTATTTTCTATTTCTATTCCCATTTTCATGTGACGGCGGCGGCGTTGGTGGCTTGCTTTGAATAATGATAAGGCCCCGGTCCTCGCCTCCGATCTGAGCCTATTCTAGCCAATCCATCCATCTGTCCATCCATACATCCATCCATTCGTCTGGTTTTTCTCTCTACCGGCTTGATTATTGATTTATTGTCCGATTTTTGGGGTCTGTGTCGCACAGGTAAACGAGAAATCGTCACGGATACGCAAAACGGTCAGCGCAACACCGAAATGTATCTCGAGACTTTGCTTGTATCTCAAGCGAATTACACCGAAAGAAATGATTGATAGAAGACTTTAAAAATACTACAAAATTTATAAAGGTTTGATTTGTATGTCAAGCGAATTACACCGAAACAAATAAGTCATAGAAGTCTTAAAAAATACTACCTAATTTGTCAAGCTTTGCTTTTTATTTCAAGTAAATTTCACTAAAAGAAATAATTATTAGAAGTCTTTAAAAAATCCTACAAGAATGTTAAAGCACCGCTTTGTATCTCAAGCGAATGCACCAAAAGAAATTAATGATAAGTCTTAAAAAAATACTTGAAAATTGTTAAAGCATACTGAATAATTAAAATAAAAATGCAGAAAAAAGCATTGCAAAGCTTAAACTTATTTTTATAAAACAAATCCTAATAAAATAAGCTGAAACTTCATGAATTAACATTTATAACAGTGCTAAACAATTATTAAAATTCAGTTTCTATATTTTAAAGGAATATCCCTATAATTATAATTCTTTCAGTGCATTCAGATACATTTTGAAGCGCACGCTTCAGCATTTTTGATGTTGTTGTCATCAATTTAACAACAACGACAAACGCCAAGCAACAAAAAATCATAAAAAACAGAGTGAACCCACCAGAGAAACCCAGAAAATAAATAAATAAAAAAAAGAAAACATTCTTAGCGTCTTGATCCCGAACGTTCTCATAATTTGTTTGCCCCTCGCATGAGAAGACCGGGGCCAGACCTGACCAGAAGGGGGGGATTCCCCTCTTTACCATTTCCCATTGTGTGCCACAGCGGCGGCGACTGTGAGAAAGATTTTATTTCGTTCAAGTGGTTTTTGATTTAACACCAAAAACACAACAAGCAAAGCCGAAGAGTGGAAAATATTTTAATGATGCGTCGTCGACATCATCGCTGCAACTGAAAAACAAAAAGAAAAGACCAAATGGAAAATAAAAAGATTTCTAACTTGTTTTTTGGTGGCCTTTCTTTTCTTTTTCATTTTCTTTCCGTTTGTTCTCAATTTATTTGTGGTTTGATTCGTAAGACATTCAATTCGATTGATTAGACCGCTGGGAAAGCTTGATGATCGTTTTCGAATTGAGTTCAAATATGAGGCATTTGTCACCCCTTTTTATTATATTTTTTTAAAGGGAAGTTCCGCTTCCGAAAAGGGTTAAAAAAATATAAATAAACTGAAGAGCAGAGAGCTGCACTCGACAAGCTGGCAATGAGGTCCTACTTGTGACCAGGTTCCTGATGCGGTTTAACATCTGTCACGGCGGCTTCCTTCCTGGGACCAGGATGAAACAATAACAGGGGAAAAAAACACAAAAACTCCAAACACCGGCAGAATAACCACATTATGGACTTAGGAACTAACCAGGCATAATATTATGCAGCTTTTATAGGGTAATTGTAATTGACATACATTTGCCAGGATCAGGAGGGAAAGAAAGGAGATCTTATTGGTTCAATGATCATGTAGGGTAAAGGATTATAAAGTGAAGTTGCAGCGAGTTGCAGTTATTCTCCAAGGCTTAATAAATAATTATGCAAAAATAATTTAAAGTCAAGTTGATTTTATAAAAGTTTCAATTAATTCCTGGCAAAGTACTAAAGTTACATGTGCAAGTACTTAATAAATGATACTATTCCTATATACCTCAGACTAAGCAAAGGAAATAGAATTACTAAGATGAGTAACGGCTATGCATAATTCTATTGCCTTTTGACTAATTAAATTTGTTCCAGAATATTATTAATTTTCTGCTGAGTTATAAAAGCCCAGCTTTCTCAGTCAGAATTGTAGTTCCCAAGGAATCTGAAGACCTAAGCATCATGAAGATATTTGTACTCCTTTTTCTTTTGGGTGAGTATTTTATATTTCTGTTAAAAGCAATTATTAAATGTAATCATTTATAGGCCTCTGCAGGATAATGATAGTTAGCGGTGAATGCAACAAGAACATTAGGCGTTATTATCATCCAGTGTGTGGCATTCTAGAATACTGTTATCAGTCTGCTAATAATGCTGACATCTTGGAATTATATTCCTGTAGGCGTAAGGAAGAAGGACTGCAAGGTATTTATATGAACATGGATTTTAATGGGTTTACGAGACGACATCATATTTATAATTATTCACAGATTTTCAGGAGAGGCGAGAGGGAAGGTGTCCCTCTGATAAGCCTCAATGCCCACCAATTTCAACGGATATTTAATAATGAATAAAAAAATATAATTATGCATATAAATATCAAAAATTAAATTAGTTGTGGAATTTTTATTCACACTCAACGGTAATTAGTCAGATGATCTATAAAAACACACTTTACTCTCTGTGTCTTTTAATCTCACAAGGAACCTCAAGTCCCAAACATCATGAAGATTATTATTTTCATCCTAATTTTGGGCTAGTTTATATTAATTGAGTTACATTATAATATAATATATAATATAATATAATAATATATAATTCTACCGGAATGTTATCAGGGTGCTAGTAATAGTGAAGTTTTAGATATATTTTCTTGTGAACGTAAGGAAAAAGGACTGCCAGGTATTTACATATATGAGATTGTAATTATACGAAATAGTTAATTAATATTATTTTATAGATATATATACAAAATAAATACTAAACGCTAAATAAAATAGATCATTATATAACGAGAAAATGGATTTACTTTATACTACAATACGTTTTTCACAGTAAATCGGAAATTTAACGCTAATTACTCTGCTGACTTATATGAGCCCAGTTTTCGTTCACATGATTTTAATGTGAAAAGGAACCTGAAAAATTAAACATCATGAAGATTTTTATTTTTGTCCTAATTTTGGGTGAGTTTTTAATAAAAATACTATTTAAAGATATTCATAAGCTATATAATTTATAGGACTTTGCAAGGTAATGACGGTTAAAAGTGATTGTGATAAGATGCGTATTAGGGGATTTAATAGACCTAGTTGTGGACATTTACCGGATTGTTATCAGCATGCTAAAAATATTGACATATTAGATTATTATTCTTGTAAGCGAAAGGAAAATGGACTTCCAGGTATTTCTTTAAAAAGAGATTTAAATATAGATTAATAATTAATTTATTAATATGATTTCACAGATTTTACTTCGAAATGGGAAGAAAGGTGTCCTGATGACAAGCCCCAATGCTCATTGTCAGAATCAACCTAAGAAATGTTGCTTCACTTTAATATTATTTACAAGCCTGCAATATTAAATAAATAAATAACATTTGCTGTCTAAAGAATGTTCACTTTAAATATTTTATACAAAAGTAAGCTAAAATATGTATATTATTTGCAAAGAGTAAGTAATTTAATAACAATAATAAAGGGTAAGCTTTTCAATAATTTCTGCACATAATAATATACATTTTTTTGCCATAAGAATGCTAAATGAAGTTCACAATTCGAGTGTTTAAAAACCTTCCCTCTGTTCCGCTTTTGATATAAAGCCGACTGCCTTTTATTCACCCCTCCTGGTGACCATCACCATTTCCCCCAACCTCTCCCCTGACTCCAAGCAACTAATGTGACACTAATCATGTGACCTCGAGTGCCGCTGGCCACATTTTTATGACCGCTTTGCACGTTGTTTACACACGACAATCGACGCGATCGGGCTAAGTTTTCCAACAATTTCTCGGGAAAACCAGAACGAACATAGGGGAATCAAAGGAGGGGAACGGGGAAAATAAAAGAAGAAAAAGAAAATGCGATCCATTCATGAAAGAAATGCCATTCTAATGCTTTCTTCTCGTTTGTGCCTCGATTGTGGCACCTTTTCATTTGGGTTCTCTGAGGAAAAGAATGGGAAAATGTGTTAAGGGGCAAAAGAAAATGGAACTGAGAAAGAAAACAATAAAGGTATTCCAATGCGTAGGTAGAGCAGAGAGAAAGATACTTTGATTACAGGGAGAAAAAACTCATATTTAAAGGAAGATTTATTTTTTGTAATAATTTGTATAAAGAAATAAATAGTGCTTTCAACTGGCTCTTCATGAAAAATTATTAATTATAAATCAAAGTTTGTGTTGCTAATTTTCTCTACACTTTTTTCTTATAATATTTCTCTCAGTGCATTATTTTAGATACACCTTTCGTGTGTTTAGTTGCCTACTCAAAAACCAATAACGCGTGTCAGAGGCAACCAATTAATGCAACGAGTGGGAGAGAGATAAGTGCAGAGAGACAATAAGAGAGAATAGGTCCTGTTCTTCTCGAGGGTTGAAGGATAACAAAACAGATCCTTTAACCCCGATTCCCCGGAGCTCCTTAAACTGATGACATTGATGAGCCGCAAACGGCGCAGGAAGTTTCTCCTCCTGTCTCGCCTGCTCCTTGCTGCTCTCTCTCTCTCTTCAGAATCCTTGCTCCTCTCTCCTGGCTCTTCAGTTCCCCTCGCGTTTGACAGGCGGCATTTAAGGGGATAATTTCGGGGCATATGCAGGATCCCCGGGCCTCGGGTGATCTCGAGTCCTCGAAAATGTTGTGTGTGACGCAGCGGGACGCGCTCCACAAAAATTTAATTAACATCTCTGTCTGTTTTTGCGTCCTGCTAAGGACATGTGCGTTTTTAGTTATTGAAATTTTTTTACTTGTTTCGTCCTGTCTCCTGACCGTGTATGTTGTGCATTGAGTATTTAATTGCAGATAATATCGACAAAACAAAACAGCAGGCGGACGACGAATCAACAGCTGAAGATCCCGGAAATGCATCTTGGTTAAAGAAAAAAAGAAGAGGGGAGTCCCCTCAATGTCCTTTCTTCTCTCAGGTCCCCACTGAGGCAGTGTCTGCTCTTCTGTTTTGCTGTGGAGGCTCAAGCACGTGTCAATAATTGTTCAGATGCCAATTGGGGAGAGAGCACTGAGGTCCTTTAAGAATCAGCTGCCTTTAAAATGGGGGAGACTTTACCTCAAAGGATAACTCGACTTTTATTGATGGAGATGAATGGGGGTTGTAATCTAGACAAAGAATCTTTTGTTTAGCTATGAGTTAAAGCTTCAAGGTTAATTCTTGATAATTGTTTATGAAAATAAATAAAAAAAAGGTATTTTAAAAATAGAAAAACATGAAAATATCTTCACTTTAACTGTGTATGGTTTAAATACTGTTTTGTTTTTAATTTGAACTACCTATAAAATCACTTTATTGTTTATTGCCACAAACATAAATCACTAATCGAAATGTACAACTAACAGTTTCTTCTCGTTTAAATCAATTAGCATTTGCTATCTCCTCGACATTTGATATATTTACTTAGCTTAAACTTCATCTCAAAGCACTCCCATATAGATATATATATATATAGCTTTGCATTTGGCAAGATCTGCGGGCAAACGAATGCAAATTAGTTGCGCACTTGGTCAACAGTTAACTCATCATCGCCAAACAACTTCCATCTGCTGCTTTTTCGCTCTCTTGGCAATTGCAAAAAGCTAACGGCAAAGCTAAAGCCGAATGGAGTTGAAGATGAAGAGGCAGCTTCAATACACAGAGAGAAAATATGACAATAAATCATAGTATTTAAAATTTACTAAAGGGAAACAAAACATTTCAAAAGACAGTATTATGTCATTTAAGCCTTTTATAATAATTTTATCAAGAAGACAATGATTCTTAATCATTTTTAAAAGAATAATATTCTAAATATTTTGGAGGTCTTGAATTGATTGATTTTTATATTGGCTATATTTATAATTTATTATTTTTAATGTATATTATTTGATATAATTTAATTTATATTATAATTTAAAGGTTCACAGATAAATAATAAATAACAGATCAAACGTCACACTTAGATTACTTTCCCATACTTTACTACGTCTTAATAATATTTTTGATAAATTTAATACATTTTTCAATAATTAACATTTATTAATTATATCTTTCACTGCACTCTGTAAAGAGAAGCCCGCAAAAGAAGCTAATGTAATTGTGTTTGTAAATGCCATAAAGTTGGCAACACTTGCTGTGCCGCAACAACAACAAAAGCAGCAACAAGATGAAAAGCCAAACTGAAATATGTTTGCCCAGCGAGCTCACCTCTTTTTTCTCCCCTCCCCCCTCTACAGTTTTCCCGCCCACTTGCCCCGCTTTTCCAGCACAGTTTTCCCCAGCCATTGCCCTCCCCTGAACAACGCTTGCAAATGAAGTTCACGAGATGGTCAAGACGATAATGTTGGCGAGCGCATTTGCCAAGTCATGACTGTTGCTGTTGCTGCTGCTGCTGCTGCTGCTTGCTGCCTGCGATGTTGCTGCTGCCCTGACACCGAAGCAACATCAACATCAGCAACAGCAACACGAGCGAACGAGTTTCTGTCGCTGTTGCCGCTGCTGCTGTTGTTGTCCATTTTGTCGCCATCGCTGGTGCCCTCAAATAAAAAAAATAAATAAACAAAAAATAGAGAAAAAATAGAGAAAAAAATAGAGAAATAGTTGGAAATCAAATCAACAACAAAAGTAAAGCAACGCCAAAAAGCAACTGTCAAGTAAAAGCAGCAACAGCAACAGCAACAAAACCGAAATTGCTAATACACTTGCTCATTATTATTTTATATAAATATATATTTTATTTTATTATATTATATACCATTGATTCAATTTATTTTTAATATAATAATTTAAATTTTTTTTTTGTTGTTTTTATAGTTATAAGACATACTACATATTAAGCATTTACTTAAATATATATGATTTCAATAATTTCCTTAAAAACTTTTGAAATGGCGTTTACATATTTAATTTATACTCTTGCTCATTTATAGATTTATTTAAAGGTATATTTTGTTATTATATTATATATCATTAATTCAAATTTTATTTGTAAAAATAATTAAATTTTTTTTGTCGTTTTCATTATTAAAAGACATAATATAAATTATGAAATTAGAAGAATAAAATTACTTAAATACATATAAATTCGATAGTTCCCAAAAATACTTTCAAAATAACATTAACTTGCATATTAAATTCCCTTATTAATTAATGTTATTATTTGTATAATTTTTGTATTATTTTAATCAAACTCCTAATACCCTTTCTAAAGAGTATACCAATGGCTAACACACAAACGGCAACAAATCTATGTAAAAACTCAATTGAAGTGCTCCCATCGTCGCTCCACATTTTTTCCTCGGCTTTTTTGTTTGCCTTTTGTTTGATTTAGTTTATGCCCCGGCCACACCCACCGACCGCCCTCTTTAACCCACCTAGGCCCCCTCAAACCCCCCTCTCTTAACCCTAGAGCGACTGCAGTTCGAATGCCCCGTCACACAGATACTCACACACACGAGGGCACTGCTCGTGGCATAAATGAATCTCCGACATCGTCGTCGTCGTCATACGAATATTTAGTAGAGTATGAAGTAGTTCGGGTTGGGTACATGAAATGAGTTGACCTCGCTTGACCTCGTTTCAGTTTCTTTTTCTGCCAGTGCTTCTCCTTTGCTCTTCTCTTTATATTTTCTGTCCCCCAACTCTTCTTTACTTTACTTTATTTTTTGCTCTTTGCAGCATTTATTTTATTTGTGCAAACATTTTTAATGAAATTTTATTTTCACCCTTCCCCACACCCCCCTCTGCGTGTGCTGGGTGTATTTATTTTCTCTCAGATTTCAATTAGAAATCTTCATAATTGTTTCTGGGTTTGCTGGGTGCTCTTTTTTTTGGTCAAGAATTTGTTTGGAAGTTGATAGTTTGGGATTTGTTTGGGATTTTATGGATTTAAATGTTGTAATTGTATTTAAAATATCATATTTTGATCTATAATAAAATAATAATACTAATAAAATAATTTAAATATTAATGAATGATATAATTCTTTAATAAAGCTAACTTACTGGTTACCTAAAAATATTCTAATTTAGAATTTTGAAAGGTTGTTTCTGATAGTTTTATTTCTACTATATATTTTCTAAAAACTCACATAATAATTTTTTATTGCCTCGAATTAATATTTAATATTTTTTTGGGCAAGTGTATATCATTCTACTTCCCCTTCTTTTTAGTTTGTTTACTTCGCCTTAATGTTGCTGCTGTTGCTGCTGCTGCTGCTGTCGTTGATGTTGATGTTGCTGTTGTTGATTACTTTCACCGGACAGCAGCACCAACTACAACAACAGATCACAATTATGACAACAACAATATCAACAACAAAAACACCACCAAGAAGCATACAAAATATCATAACAAAAAATGTAGCTAACTTTCTTATTGTTTTATTCGTGGCT